GGGAAATGGAAGTTTCTTCAACAGATGGTGCTGGTAAAACTGGGCAGCTACATGTAAGAGAATGTAACTGGATCACTGTCTAACCCCATACACAAAAGTAAATTCAAAATGGATCAAAGACCTGTAATATAAGTTATGAAACCATAAAACTCTTAGAAAAAAACATAGGCAAAATTCTCCTGGACATAAACATTACCGATTTCTTCATGAACATATCTCCCCAGGCAAGGAAAACAAAAGCAAAACTGAACAAGTGAGACTATATTAAGCTGAAAAGCTTCTGTACAGCAAAGGACACCATCAATAGAACAAAAAGGTACCCTTCTGTATGGGAGAATATACTCATAAATGACAGATCTGATAAAGGGTTGACATCCAAAATATATAAGAGCTCACGCTCCTCAACAAACAAAAAGCAAATAATCCAATTAAAAGTGGGCAGAGGATCTGAACAGACCATTCTCCAAAGAAGAAATTCAGATGGCCAACAGACACATGAAAAGATGCTCCACATCGCTTGTCATCAGAGAAATGCAAATTAAAACCATAGTGAGATATCACCTCACACCAGTAAGGATGGCCACCATCCAAAAGAAAAACAACAAATGTTGGCGAGGTTGTGGAGAAAGGGGAACCCCCCTACACTGCTTGTGGGAACATAAATTAGTTCAACCATTGTGGAAAGCAGTATGGAGGTTCCTCAAAATGCTCAAAATATATTTACCATTTGACCCAGGAATTCCACTCCTAGGAATTTACCCTAAGAACACAGCAATCAAATTTTAAAAAGACAGATGCACCCCTATGTTTATCGCTGCACTATTTACAATAGCCAGGAATTGGAAGCAACCTAAATATCCATCGGTAGATGAATGGATAAAGAAGATGTGGTACATATACACAATGGAATATTACTCAGCCATAAGAAGAGGGCAGATCCTACCATTTGCAACAACATGGATGGAGCTAGAGGGTATTATGCTCAGTGAAATAAGCCAGGCAGAGAAAGACAAGCACCAAATGATTTCACTCATATGTGGAGTATAAGAACAAAGGAAAAACTGAAGGAACAAAACACCAGCAGAATCCCAGAAACCAAGCATGGACTAATAGTTATCAAAAGGAAAGAGACTGGGGAGAATGGGGGTGTAGGGAAGGATAAGGGTGGGGAAGAAGAAAGGGGATATTATGATTAGCATGTATAATGTGGGTGTTGGGGCAAAGGGGAGGGCTGTGCAAACAGAAGACAAGTAGTGATTCTACAACATCTTACTATGCTGATGGACAGTGACTGTAATGGGGTTTGTGGGGGGACTTGGGGTAGGGGAGAACCTAGTAAACATAATGTTCTTCAAAAAAAGAAAGAAAGCAAATGACAGCAAAACGTTCTTGGGGTGAATGGTTATTACCCAGCTTGTTCTCCGGCGGGAGGTCCAGCCTCTCTGCCTCCACTTGGCCAAGCTCTCTATATAGTGCAATAATAGCTTATTGCCTACAGGTGTGGAAGTGGCAGCCCAGCAACAGTTCAGTTACATCATCAGGTGGTTTAAGTTCAGTGAGGATCCTGGCCATATGAACCCCAACTTCCCCACATAGTACCATCAGGGAAAGTATTATTTGCGATAAAAGTACATTTTCCTCCTAAAATAACATGGACTCCTCCTTTTTCTGCTAACATCATATCTAATGCTATTCTGTTTTCCCAGGCCATCCTGCTGGTAGCATCTAGTTGGCTAGCTACTTCTCGTGTTATGAAAAATACTGAAAAAAACCCTGGACTGGATCATTGACAGAAACACCAAGCGGCACTCGGAGGCCTGGGAGTGTTGAGGCTTTATTTCACACTGGCAGGCTCAGAGGGGAGTCATCTCTCATGTGGGGAGTGGGCTATGCCCTTCCCCCACTTGCCGATGTGGCGGGAATGGAGAACAAAGAACATTCTGTATGCGTTCCATGAGCAACTAACTGGAACCCTGCTGAGCCTACCTTTGCCTGGCTACTGCTGACGTCAATACTGTGCTTGATTGTCTATTGGATAATGCTATGTCCTGGAATCATGTAACCCCACGGCATTATATAAACCCTGGAACTTCATTAAAGTTTTGCTGGCAACGCGTGGGGACGTCAGCCCTCCTAGCTCTTTCTGTCTTTCTTTATTTTCTTCGCCCCCCCTTCCCCACTTCAGGACCTGCTCGACTAGGCGCGTCTGGACCGCGTCAAGCGGCGCCCGAACAGGGACCTGAAGGAGAGGGAGAAGGTGAGGGCCTCCATGTCGAGAAGAGAAAGGCTTGGCCAAGGTAACCAGAGAAGACGCTTGAAAGAGGCGGGCACGCAACGTGGAGTGGTAAGTGATTTTTCTGGGAGTCCAATATGGGACAGGCAAAAAGCAAACAGCTTTATGTCTGCGGGTTGAAGAAATTACTGGCTGTTAGGGGAATTAAAGTAGGGAAGTCCCAACTAGAAAGATTTTTAGACTTTATTAAGGAAGTCTGCCCATGGTTTCCAGAAGACAGGACAGTAGACAGATTTATGGAATAAAGTAGTAGACAGATTTATGGAATAAAGTAGGAGAGGAATTACAAACTTATTATTCTACCCATGGTCCAAAAAAGGTTCCCGTGGACACATTTGGCCTGTGGACCTTAATTAGAGACTCTTACATGACTTAAGGCAAATTAATGCAGTTCTTAAACCTATGGGACCTTTACTACAAGGCCTCCCTTTTTCCGGGTATTATTCCAAAAGACTGGAATGACTATCATTGACCTTAAAGATTGCTTTTTTACCTTGCTCCTCATTCAAAGCAGTCCTCTTAGGCCTGAGTTACTTCCTCCTGTGTAATGTAAATAGAGCCTGTGATTAAGCTGAACCCTCAGATCAACATGTAAATAGCTCTATTCTATTAACTGCTTTCCTTAGAGGCAGTCATCCTGGAGCTAAGCATTTCCTCCTCAGCAGCCCCAGGGAAGCCAAAACAAGCTTGTGACTCAGATCAGGGCTCTAGTGGTGAAAAGTCACACAGTCCCTGCATTTATCAGACAGGCTGGGGCCTCCTGAGGAATGACTAAAGCTCGGGAAGAAAAAACTAGGAAAACTGACTGAGAGCAATTTGATCCCTAAACTCTAAAAAGAGGTATCTTATCTTCTGCACACAAACTTGTTCCCAGTACAAACTCTGATTAGAGAGGCTTGGCCCCTGAAAGAAGTATGCAATATAATGTTATGCAGCTAAATATATTTTGCCACAAGGGAAGAAAATAGTCAAAAGTTCCATGAACTACTACAATATGGAGCTAGTTTTCTAAATTCTTTTAGTGAACATCTATCCTATTTATTAAGTTCATCATTATCTTTGAGAATTGAGAAGTCTTAAACTAAACTCCCTGAGATAGAAGAAATTTATCTTCTGCAATACAGCCTGGCTTTAAATGACTGGAGCTAGAATTGTACTTGCATTTCATTTCCAGCCCCCTGGACACACAGTCCCTCCCTATCAGTTCACAGCCTTCATCGGCCCTGTTAGTCTGGGGCCATCTAAACCTTAACCCAGTTATGAAAACTGCTTGCCCTTAGAGTGTATTCTTGAAAACTGAAGTACTTTTATTCAAATAAACTAAGAAGAAAGAAGACCATTGAATATTAGAAACAAATCTTTATGTCAGTTTGTCTGTGTATATGTATTTATATGAAAAGTGTTGCTAACTGTAGTCATTATGTCTCGGTCTGTATGTTTGTGTGTCTAAGCGTGTAACAAAAATATTTTCTACCTCCGGAAGGTATTAATAAAATTGATTTAAAAACAAGTGCTTGTGAAAATTGGGCATTCTAAAATTTCCAGAAAAGCTAATAAAAAAGTATTATGCATTAATGCTAATTTAAGCTTAACTGAAATGGACATGTCATAGTTATTAGCTGCCATAGTTTACTTAAAGTCATTTAAGTTAATGTTACCTATTAAATATTTCAAGAAAATGCTTAAAGAAAGGCTTGACTTTGATGTGTGGTGAAAGTTTTATAAGTAATATAGCATGGTTGCTAAAAATAAGTAAAGTGTAGCAAATAAACTTTTTAATAATAATACTGTATTAATCTATAACAATGTATATATTTGCAAACAGCCTGAGAATTTTTGTGGTAACCAAAATTGTTAAAGTTTGCTAAGTTATACAGACATATTTTGTACTTAAGGAGAAATTGTGCTGTAAAGCACATTTCCAAAAATGATAAAATATGTTAATAGATGTATCAATCTGAAGAATGCTGGTGTAACAGTTACAGTGGCCTGTTTTTCAGTATTCAATGAAGGTTAAGGTAGCAAATGGTTTTAGTTCTAATGAAGACTACTTAATATAATAAGGAAAATATTTTGGTATGTTAAAGATGTGTGTTTTAATAAGAGAAAGTATAAAGAATGGAAATTTATTTTGTTGAGTAAAATCAGGTTAATTCTAAAGTACAGCTATTTATTTAAAGGGAGACAGAGACAAAGAGAGAGAGAGCAGTGTGGTGCCTTTTGTTGTGGCGCATCCGCTCAGCCTGTTGCTTTGGGGGAGGGTCAAGATGTTTAGAGATAAGGCAGGATAAACCCAGTCAAGCCCCAGGCAAGCCCAGGCATAATATAATTCTCACTGGCTTATGTGCTTGGGACCATGAGGCAAATGAAGAATAAATTACTATATTTTTACAGATACAATCATGCTATGTGAAATCAAAGCAAGTGAGTCTGAATATCGAGAACACAGCAAAATTGGACTTTTGTTTTCAGTTAGAAAGACAAAGTATTCTTTAACTGTTAGTCTGCTCTTAATATTGAAAGATTGCAAAGGGTTCTCTGTTTCATTAAAACAGTTTCTTATGCTTAAAGTCTTAATGAATTGTCTGAGTATTTAAGAAAATAAGATCTTAATATTAAAAAGACTAAGCTAAGTGTTAACAACTATGTAACCTTCTGCATTTGCTTTTAAGCTTTCTTATCATTCTAGTTAAATAATAAGTGTTATTTAATAACTATAATTCTATTTAGGCAAGTGCCTTAAAAACTTTTGACAGCTTCCCAAAACCAAAATTTAAAAAGGTATTTTTACCTCTCAATTAACTGATATTTTCCAGAGGGCGCCTGGAACTTATCAGTAGAATTTCTTCTCCTCATCAAAGAAAATATTTGACTAATTTGGCTTATTTACCTGATACATACTTACCTAAAAAGTGCTGTCAAAAGAAATAATGGCTCGATTTTATTACTGAGTGTTTTATGTTACATAAATATCCAAACTTCCATATATCAACTATCTTACAGTAAGTTCTCATCAAATCTTTAACCACTGTCATTTATAAATCTTTTCTTGTTTATAATCACTGTTTAATTACTACTAAACTAGTGAAGAACTAGATTTCAGCAAATTGAGTACTGGTTACTTAGGATTGAGTAAACTAAGGACATTTTGTAGCTTCTTGTTTCAAGTGTTGCTGATAAAATGTTTTAAGCTTTATCTCTTAAGCTGACTGACAATGCTCCAGTTTACCTCTCTGTGTTACATTTTTTCAGCTATATAACATCACTCATAACACAGGCATTTCATACAATTCTACAAGTCAAGCTCTCATTGAATATTGTGATCTTATTCTTAAACATTATTAATACAAAGAGGGGGGATTACTCCCTGATATGATAAAATTAGTTGCAAGTTGACGATTGGTGCATGCTTTACATATCCTTAATTTTGATCTTCTGGAGGGTGATAGATGGTCAGTGGTAGAGGTACATTTTTCTGATAATATTTACAACAACACTTCCTGTGTGGTAGTCTCCAATGAGTTCTTCACTATGGCATAAAGATCATATCAAGGTGTGGGGCAAGGGGTTTGCTTGTGTTTTTACAGAGGATCAATCTGGCCGCCCAGAAAATGAATTCAGATACGATATGAAGGAGAACTTCCAACATCAACATCCTCTGGAGGAGTCATTCCAGAAGGTGACCATCAAAAAACCTCAACAAAAGTCTGCATGTCAAACACGGAAAACTGAAGCCCACTAAATAATAGTATCTTTTTTTATTTCCAATAATGGCACTTACGTGTGTACATACTACAGAAGAAATGTATAGACACATGATAGAAGAAAACTTAGATGGAATGATATTGCTGATTGGTCTGTTAGAGATGGTGATCATTATGATATTTATAAAGCAGTTTAGTACCGAGAAGATATTGACAGTTATACTTGTGAAAAGTTTCAAAAAAGAACTCCTGTTATATTGTATAAGAGTAATTAGGTGTATTTAAATATATCACTCATTCCAGAAAATAATTTTTCCTCACCTAACTTGTAGTTACAACAACTCGTGAGCCAAAAGTTGCACAAGTCATCTTTTTGTGTAGCAAGAAATTCCTCTATCAGTGAACTGTTGAAGAAGAATTTAATAGGCATAAGACTTTCTCTTACGGTGTTTACTAATATCTCAGGCATAAACATCACTCTTCCCCCTAAAGTGCTTGCTCCTGATGCCCAGTTAAATTTACCTGTTAATACTACTATAATTACTGATTGTGTATGTATTAATTGTACTCATCTACCCTCTTATTGCAATTCTTCAATCATTGTAAAATAGTCTTCTAGATATAGACTTCCAAATGGTTGGGTATTTTTGTGTAATAACAAAACATATCAAGCCCTTTCTTCACACTATCAAGGTATTTGTGAGGTGGGATGCATTCTTCCTGCTCTAATAGACCACCTGAATATAAGCACAAGAAGCTTCTAGCTCTGCCATCTGATTGTCATGAAAACTTGACACTTTGAGATCCTGCTGCTGTTGCAATTGCAGCTGCATTCCTCCTGCCAGTTCCTGGACTTGTCATTGGAATGCAGAAAGAGATATCTAAGCTGGCCTGTGCATATAGCAAAACAACAAACTTGACTGCTTCTGTATTATCTGAACTCAACCAAAAACTGAGAGAATTGCTAGCTGCAGTGCTTCAGAATCGCGCTGCTGTGGACTGTTTGATGTTAAAAGAGCATGTAAGATGTGATCAGTTTCTTAGAATGTGCTGTTTCAATTTCTCAAACTACCCAAAATCAATTAGATGATATCCCTCATATTGTCAATAAGTTTTTACAAATGCCTAAGCTCTTTAACTAGTTTTTTTAGTTTCATTAGAGATAACTAGTAATTGTAAGTCTGCCTTTGTTATGTATCTGTATTCCTATTCTGTTAATGTATGTAAGCAATTTAACTAGTAGTCTGTTAAAACATATATATATATATATACATACAAGTTATGTCTGTCTTTCAACATGTTCAATCTCAGCCATGTAATGCATATTTCCCACAAAACTAAGATACCATATAATCCGCAAAGCACTATAAAACGTGCCCATGGCACCCTTAAAGCTCATTTGGAAAAAACAAAAAAGGGGGAGTTATATTCCCGGCCACCACAGAACTATTTAAATCATATCTTATTTACAGCCAAAACTGCATCTGATATATTAAATCAGACAAAAGACATGTTCAGGGGCCCCCTGAATAGTCTCTGGCATGCTGTCACACCTCTCTTAACCCTAAGCATTTTATGGCTTTTGTTGCTGTTACTAGGGCCTTTTGTCCTTTGCAGCATGTGGAAACTCAACCAGCAAGCCTTAAGAGACCTGCATCATTTGAAATTGCTGATGGCCCCCCAACTTGTAAATCATAAGTTCTAAAGTCTTGACTCATTTTCTGTTATCATTATGTGCAGCCATTGTGTGTATGTTTCCTAAAAATGAGTTCAAAAGCATTTCTGCACCTTGGTGCAGAGCTACATATGTCTCAGCTGAAAAGTCACCCCCCGATGCCGGATATTGAGAAGGGGACAGGATAGTCAATGACTGGTTGTCTTGGAGACCTCTGGCAACCTAAGACAGGGCCCTCATGATGGAATGTGGGTACCAATGATGGGTCAGTCCAGATGAGTGTTCCAGGAACACCTAAGACAGGCACTGTCACCCTCATAAAATAAAAAAAGGAGATGTGGGGAGCAGGCTATGTCCTTCCCCCACTTGCTGATGTGGCAGGAATGGAGAACAAAACATTCTGTACGCATTCCATGAGCAACTAACTGGAACCCTGCTGAGCCTACCTTTGCCTGGCTACTGCTGACGTCAATACTGTGCTTGATTGTCTATTGGATAATGCTATGTCCTGGAATCATGTAACCCCACTGCATTATATAAACCCTGGACCTTCATTAAAGTTTTGCTGGCGTGCGTGGGAGCGTCAGCCCTCCCAGCTCTTTCTGTCTTTATTTTCTTCGCCCCCCTTCCTCACTTCAGGACCTGCTCGACTAGGCGCAGCTGGACCACGCCACTCAAAAAGTCTGAGCCCCCAAAAAAGGCAAAGGGAGCAATATATATCTTTATGCTTATCTGTGACATTCCTATGTGCACAGAAAGTGAGCAGGCAAAGGTGAGGAGTTTAGGGAGTGAACCTTGGTAACTGGTGCTCAGCAGAGCAGGAAACCCAAGGGTTTTTTGTCGTGTTGAGGAGGGGTCAAGACAGGGGAGCCACCCACTAGCTCTGGTAAATTGCTGTCCTTGTAAATCTTTCCCTATCACTGCCCCCTCTGATGCCCCTTTAAACACTTTTGGGGAACATCATCTCCCTGGCTTATGGCAGGGTTATAATGGCTTCACATATGCATGAGCTGTATGGAGGAAATGCATTCCTTGATAAAGGTAATGAACCAGTTAAATATACAGGGTCCCACCAATAGTCTAAGGAACAGCAGAATTGCTGGCCCAGCAAGGCCAGTTAGAAGAGTTGTTAGCCATAGATTCTATTCAAACCATCCCTAGAACTAAGACTTTTATTTTCTAACATTTTATTCCTACGCTGGATGTTTTCTTTCACTTTGGCTAAAGAGCTCCTAACCCAGACTTACTTACATTAAAAACAATCTTTTCCAAAGGCTACACATAAGCATCCCTGTGACATGAACAGGAGGTCCAGTCTTCTACAATTTTGTGACACTACTTTAGCCAGGGTATCAATTTGATTTTGTGCCTGAATCATGGTGGTTTCAACCTGCTCTAAATCTGGATTAATTTCCTCTATTAGAGCCGCTGGGCCTACTGCAGCTGATCCAGCTACACTGAGCTCAACTAGAGCAGGGATCAATAAAGGGCCAGCCTGTTCTGCCTAGGAAATCTCACCAGGGACAAGGAGGTAGCTCTCTTCAGGCCCACTATGCACTTTATAACTTTTGTACAATTAAACATTACAGAAAGGTGCTTTGGAAATGCAGGCTGAGACTTGGGTCCAGCTAGGAGAGACAGGTAAGCACAGTAAAACAGCTTAACAATTACCCAATAGGCAATACAAAGGGAAACTTTTTGAGGAATAGTCCAGTCCAGGGGTGCAACAGCACAGAGTCTAATGCCTTGAATAAAAGACACCACTCTGATGAGAGCCAGGATCCGCTGTGCACAGGTGTTCATTAGAGCAGGATCATCAGGTGCAGAGGCTTAGAGGATCTGGAGGTCTGGCTGGGCCTCCCACTGATGTGCCTCCTCGTAAGGATGATGGGCCCTTTACACTCTGGAATGATGGATCCCCGGAGTGATGCTTGCAACCTTGAGGGCAGTAGGAGTAGTTAGAACAACGATGTGGGCGCCAGTCCACTGAGGTATGAGGGGGTCCTTTTTCAAATCTTTTAACTCAGACTGAGACCCCACTTGGAAGGAATGTACTGGGGTTCCTAGAGAGATCGGGGCTCTTTCTATAGTGTATTGTTGTGGTTTATTTAGGGTGGCTTCCAAGGCTTGGAGTTGTTCTCTTGCCCCCTTATCTCTTGTTTGGTGTAGGTTCCCTGGGAGGCTTCCTAGATACAGGGAAGGGTGTCTATACACTAATTCAAAAGGGAAAAAACCTTGAGTTCCAGGTGTGTGGCTAGCATGCAGGAGAGCCAGGGGCAGTAAATCTGGCCATGGGAGGCCAGTTTCTTGGCAAAATTTAGCTACGTTCCTTTGAGGGTGCAATTCATTCACTCTACTTTCCCTGAACTCTGTGGCCTGTATACAGTGTGAAGTTTCTAGGTAATATTGAGGGATTTAGTTAACATTTGCACTACATCTGCTACAAAGGCAGGCCCAATGTCGCTGTGGATTGTGGACAGTGGGCCAAACCAGGGCACAATTTCTCTCAGGAGGACTTTGGCTACCTCCCAGCTCCATTAGGTTCTGGTTGGGAAGGCTTCGACCCAGCCAGAGTATGTACACACTATTACCAGGAGGTATCTGAGTCCCCTGCTTGACTGGACATCTGTGAAGTCTATCTCAAGGTCTTCAAAGGGGGCAACCCCCGTTCTTTGGACACCAGGTGAGAGTCGTTGCGCAGATCAAGCATTATTTCTGGCACAAATTACACAGTGTCTACTCACTGCTCGGCATAGTGCTGGCAACTGGCTGATGTAGTATTGCTTTTGAGGAGGGCCTCCAGTGCAGTTTTTCCCAGGTGGGTGAGCTGGTGGTATTTTCTGACTAGTTGCATCCCGGTTACAGTTGGAACAAAGATACATCTGTCTGGCAACATCAACCATCCCTTTTCAGTTAAAGTGGCTCAGTTATGGCCCAATATTTCTCCTTTTCAGTGTACCTGGGTTAAGGGGCCTCTACCAGAGGTGCTAAGGCCATAGTGAAGGAAGGAGCTCTCCCTGCCTCCTTACTGGCCACTGCTTTGGCAGCTTCATCTGCCATTGGATTCCCCTGTGTAATAGGGTTCTTTTCCTTTTGATATTTTTTGCAATGCAGAATTGCTTCCTTTATTATGTATGAAGAGATTGAAGGGCCTTTTTATATCTGGCAGGCCTAGTGGTGGTGCCTGTTCTGAAGCAGTTTTTATTTCCAAGAAGGTAGCTCTTGCCTCTTTTGTCCAGACTGGGGCTTTCAGTCTGCCCCCCCTGCCAGGAGGTGGCAGAGGGACGTTGCCATTGCTGAGAATGTGGGAATCCAGATTTTTGCAGAACCCTGCGGCCCCTAGGAATTCTCATGCGCCCCCCCTCATTCTGGGCTGGGACAAGGAGTTAACAACCGTTTTTTTCTCTGGCCTTAATGCCCTATCTCCCCAGGTGAGGGGGAAGCCTAAGTACCGGACTTGCTGTTGGCAGATTTGTGCCTTTTTTTATGAGGCTTGGTATCCTGAGTCTGACAGGAGTTGCAGGAGGGCCTTTTCCCTGGGTGTCACTGGCAAAGAGGAGGACATCTACATGCCGCAGGAGGGTGCAGCATGTGGCATCTCTCATAAATTTGGCAAGGTCTGCAGCCAATGCCTCTCCAAAGAGGGTGGGTGAGTTCTTGAACTCTTGTGGAAGCCTCATCCATGTTAACTTCATCTGCTGCCCCTTATCCAGTTCAGTCCATTCAAAGGCAAATAAGAGTTGGCTTTGTGGGGACAGCCAGAGGCAGAGAAAGGCATCTTTAAGTCTGGGCAAGTGAACTGTTTGGCAGACTCTGGAATCTGGCTGAGGAGGGTGTGTGCATTTGGAACCACTGGGTGTAAAGAAACAGTCACTCTATTAATGGCTTGCAGGTCTTGAAAAGGCTGATACTCTCCTCCTTTTGCTGTTAGAAGTGGGGTGTTCCAGGGTAACTGACAATTGATTAGAATGCCTGCCTGTCTGAGTCTGATCAGGTGTTCCTGGATGCCTGCCCTTGCCTCTTGTGAGAGGGTATACTGCCACTGTCTTTGTGGCTCCGAGAATAATTGTAGTCTTTTTCACTGAAGGGGGCTACAGGGAGAGTGAACCACAGAGTGTTCTGCACCCGTGTCAACAATAAAAGTCATGTTCTGGCCCCCCACTTTAATTTTGACCGTGGGTTCATGGTGGCCGAGTGTGAGAGAACCCAGCCCTTGTCAATCTGTGTCTGTTTCTGCCAGGCCAATGAGCCTTTCCTGTGAGGCTCCTCCCAGGAGCAAGTGGGCCTTGGGGCTTTGCCTCGGTTGGGGCATTCATTTTTCCAATGCCATTTTTCTTCACAGAAAGCACACTTGTCTTTGGCTAAGGGAGTCCTGGGCTTCTCCCCTCTTGGTGGCTGGCTTCTCTCTGACTTCTGCCTATCTCTCTATTTCAGGGCAGCTGCCAGAAGACTGGCCTTTTCTTCATTCTTTTTTTCAGCATCCCTGTTAGCTTGAACTTCTCTGTTCATATATACTTTGTTGGCAATTTCAATCAGCTGTGTGATATTCATCCCAGTGAAACCCTCAAGCTTTTGGAGCTTTAATATGATGTCTGGGGCAACTTGGGCTACAAATGAGGTGTTTACCATCTGCTGGCTCCCTAGTGACTTAGGGTCAAAAGGGGTACAGATGTGATAAGTTTCACACAGTCTCTCATAATAGTCTCCAGGAGACTCTTCTGGTTGTTGAGTGACTGAAGAAACTTTAGTCATGTTCATAGGCTTGTTGGACTCAGCTTTGATCCCCTGGAGGAGGGCGTCCTGCTTTGCTGTATCTGGTGCTGTCCCTCAGGGGTGCTGAAGTCCCTCTTGGGGTACTCCTTGGGGACAGTAATTTCAGCCTATGCACCCCGACCAAGGACACAGGCTGCCTCCTCTCTTCCATTGTGAACAGGGTGCAAGAAGCGGTTGACAGATTTTTTAGGTTGTCTGATGGATTTGAAAGAGGGATTACCTAAGATCAACCAGGGCTTGTGGCTTTTCTGATGGGGTGTCAGTTGTGGAGAAGGATTGATACTAAAACATGGACTGGCTGGGCTGGATGGTCCCATACTTATTATGTTTTTCAGGCTTCCGCATCTCTTCCACTGGCATCTGAAGGGCCCCTGCTCCCAGCTCTGGGTGCAGTCTGGCTGCTGGTCTGAGGGGGAGTGGATTCACTGGTTCTGGAGTTGGCAGGGAGGCTGATGGCAGTGGGGTATCAGGGACCAGAGGCTGGGTGCTGACAGCCTTGGGGACACATAAGGCGGGGGCAATATTAGCTCTTCCTCCAGGTCACTAGTAAAAATTTGCAATGGTTCAGTCTTCTGTTGATTGCTGGTTTCTTTGTTGAGGCAACTAAGACCTTACCCTGTCCTTGCGTGTTGCAAGTGAATCGCACCCAAGAAGGAAGAGTCTGGGCAGTTTCTAACCAGGAGTTAAAGTATGGGAACTGAATAGGATGACCTAGAGCTCTAGGGATGACCCTCCAGGCTTAGTCGATTGTTGGGATGTCTAGAATTCCTTCTAGAGGCCACCCTACACTAAAGGTGGGTAATACAGATTCACGCAGGGTTT